AGCCTGAGGTCTTCAGTTTTCTGTGGGATCCCGGAGGAGCCGGTTCTGGGGGTTCTTCCTGCCCCGTGTTCTTGGTACAGGGGGAATGGGAATATTGTGGCCTAGCGCTGCTCCTGCTGCAGTGTGCAGCTTTGGGGAGAAACTTTGAGCTTTCAGGCRGGTTTGGAGCAGCAGAGATGCTGCGGCAAGGCTGGGTTTCTCAGGGTCGGGCAGCTGGTGTTCCCYTGTTTGCCATAGTAACTGTGTCCCCATTTGTCCCCTACCGCTGCCTCCTGCCATCACTGGGGCTCCCGGGAATTATTCCCCATTGGGAGCTCCAAACGGCACAGGTGACATTTGTGGAGCTGGTGACATCGGTGACATCCTTCCASGGTGCCTCTCTGTGCTGTTTCGCCCCTTCACCTGTTGATGTTGTCCAATGCTGAAGGTTGTTTCTGAGGGCAGAAGGAGAAATTGGGGAATTTTCTGCATTCTGGCAGTGTTTCTTCCTCAATAAGACACTCTGCAAAGCACCGGGCCCCCCTTCCCGCAGCTCGTTACTGTCCCACGTGTCTTCCAAGTGGCYCCAAGAGCCACCGGCTGAGTCTCCAGGTGTGGGCACCCCCCGTGCCCGGGAAGGCAGAGGGACAAGGAGGCTGTCGGGAACGGAGCCCGTTGCTTTGCCATGGGAGCCCTTCCAGCCGCTCCACCAGACCACAGGATTTTCCATGTACCAAATGTCGGGGTTTGCGCTTGGATTTCTCTGATCCGAAGGAATTTGTGACTGAGTTTCCGTAGAGCCTGATAGACCATATTTTTACTACTGTATTTTTGCAGTATTCTTATTTTTCRAAAGCTACTTTTTACTTTTTTATATGAGGAAAAAAGGGCAACTTTTTTACTTAAGAAAGATATTAAAACATGAAAACCAAGAAAAACTAACCTCAGTGAAATAAGGAGTTACTTGAGAAGACAATACCAAAGACTGCTTTTCAAGCATTGTTGGTTGATTTTTTTAATGCACATCGTTTGTAAACATTTTAATGAAATTAAGTACATAGAATCTTTTTTTTTTTTTTTTTTTTTACTATGACATTTTTTATATTATAGTCTCCATTTCTTGGTGCTATTCTTCATATAATCCTGACCGGCAGCTCGTTATCTAGGGCACTACTGTTAGTGGTCTTGGTGATCTGGGTAATGATTTCCTTAGACCTTGATGCTGCTATACGTAAGCTCTATAAAATATTAATATGAGACTTCCTGTGTAGGGCCAAAAGTTTGTGTGTTTTAACTTTGTCATTTAGACAAAAAACTATGTCTATACCAAAGTTGGTATGTTGCTCATTAAATATATGTGCTTGTAGGCACATGTATTCAACAGTACTGTGAAAATCCCTGCAATACGTTTTTTGTTGTCTACAATGCTGTTATTTTTCAGGTGTTGACTTTGGTAGATACAAAAAGATATGGCTATTTGGTGAAAGACTTTTCAATAAAACTATACCTGCACAAAACGTTCTGTGACTATTTTTAAATGTAAGCTGAAAACGTTATTCTCTAGTGGTTTAAGATGAATACAGGCAAAAACTAACCACGAGGGATGCTGTAATCGGGAGTTGTTTGGAATATGGTGTTAGAAGCAGATTTTGAATCTGCTTGACCTTAAGGCTTTCGTCTGCTTTGATAAATAGAAGTAATTAAAATAGTGTGCTGGGTTTGTAACTGCTCTTCAAAAATACYTAAGCGTGGTGCTTGTTGTGCAGGTTGGGGGTGCAAGCGTGCACCTTATCCGTGCAAACGGGCTCGGATTATGCAACGGAAAGCGCCGTGTCCAGGTGCCATCTGGCCACGGAGGAAATGGGGTATTTTGGGGTATCTCCTCTCAAGCACTTCTGCYCCATGGCACGGGGGCCAGGTCGCTGTGTTGCTCCGCGATGGGTTTTAGGGGCTGAGCTGGTTTGTGGGGCATCCCGAGCAATCCCCTGCATGTGTCTGCTGGGGAAGTGGCCTTGGATGGAGGCAGGAGGGATCTGTGACCCCCGATGACTTCCCGGGATCAGCTTAGCGCTTGTTACCTTGTCTAGACTGCGCCTAAGAGGTTTACGGTGATCCTGGGCCGTGCAGATGTTTTGGCTGCGTGGCCTGCTGTTCATACCCGAGCAGCCACGAGAGCAGCCTGGGAACACTCCTCATGAATAGCTTGGTATCAAAAAGGAGGAATTTGCTAAGGATTTTCCTGTTGGAGAAAGTGGGCTCCTTGCCTCAGACTGCGTAGACTAGAGTGGAGTGTCATGGCCAAAGGAGAAGATGCAACCAAAAAAAATGTTCCTGTAATTTTAGTTTTCCCAGGCAGGGGGCAAATATAAGAATAAAGGCCTTTTGTTTTCCAATATTCCAGTTGTTCCAGCAAAATCTTGCAGATAAGAAGTTAGGTACGAGGTGGGACTGCTTGCACAAAGCCCCGGCCAGCAGAACAGCTCCGTGGAAAGCGAACGGTGCCTGGAACTTGCACGTCCAAGTATCGCCTTGGAGGTCCCCAGAGCGGCGCGAATGGGCATGTTATCCCATTAAAGCAGCCTTGTGAAATTCCCCCTGACTGCAGCACGTAATCTTTGCTGACAGGTGAATAAACCAGCTCTCCCCGTTGCTGTCAGCGCTCCTGCAACGTGGGCCAGGGCACCAAGGAGATTTTTTTCCGCCTCCCACTGTTTAGGGCTGGGAAATTCTCACAGCCGCTTTGCAAAGAGGCTTTTGTAGGAAGCAATTCCACAACTGAGGAGCAGACCGGGACAGCCGTGCAGGAGGAAAGAATATCAAATCTCATTGAAGTTGCTGTTTGAAACGGGTATTTTTTCAGGTACCTGCGTGGTGGCTTTTTTTTCCTTTAAGTAGCCAAGAAAAGCACTGAATAGAATATTTCACAAAATATTTCACRAAATTCATATAATACCAACTTTTAATAGCTTGAACCATTCGTTTATTCTGAGTTAGAAAAAGAAAAAAGYCCTCTTTTCATAATCTTTCCTTTAAGATGAGCTTTTCGAGTGTTGAGATGTTTGTTCTGATTTTAAAGTGGTGGATGTGGAGTTTCATTTAAAATAGTGGATGTGGGAACAAAGCACCATTGCAGATCTCAGCTTTTCCAGCGTTGCCTTGGGATAAGGTTTGCACCTAGTAAGAGGAAGAGCAAATCTGCTTCCTGTGGAATTCTCCTTATTTATTCCCCCAGCCAAATGCTGAACATAGGAAGCTGGCTCAGCTTTGGAAGCCCTGTGAAATAGTGTGTTTTCTCTGTGTGTTGAAAGCCTCATAGCTCTCTGTGTCCTGCCTGGATTTCCTGGTGGAAACAAAGAGCAAAAGGCCAGTTAAAGAGCGACATTTCTCAGGTTATTTACTGCCCCCATGAAGACATCGTGGGCTTTGTCCTGCCCTCACGGCCCAGTTTGCACTGGTTTTATATGAGACTCAACGCCGGTTACTTTGCATGTTATTTTCATCTGCATTGCAAATCCACGAGAAAGTAAATGTTCAAAAGAGAAGGAAACGAAAGCCCACGACTGAGTATTAAGTAATGCCCAATTCAGAGGCATGCTGAGTTTGCAAAAGAGGGTGAGAGCTTCTTTTAAATTAGCTGTTTTTATTTTCCCAGCACACTATTTGACTCCCCCAGGCATTTTCTGAGGTATAGGAGAGCGTGCGGCACCGCTCAGCTGGCAGGGCTTGCTAGCAGGGCACTTCGGAACGCGCAGCTAAAGATCTTGCAAAGTATTYGGAACCTGTAGGAGCTGTGGGATCTCCCTTTACTGTCTCACCTACACTGCTTCCTCTACCAAAACGAGCCATTTGCATATGCAGTAGCATAATTGAGATAATTAACACGAATTTGCTTCCTTTTTTTCCCTCCGTGTTATGTAAACAGTGCATTGTTTTGAGAAATGACAATAATTAGGAGACAAATTAACATATTAATGGRAAGAAAGAGAATTAAAGAAGGTGGAGGTAAAAATTACATGCACGTGGACAGTCATTTCCAAATGTAGACGGGGTGGATTTCCTTAGGGAACAGGGAATTCCCTGCTTTCTCCTGTCGTATTTTGCACTGTAGGTTTTGTTTGGAGGAGGAAACACCCACAGAGCTGCTCTGCTGAAGGAGACCCTGGGGCTGTTAATACTGTTTGCAGCCCTCAGGTTTGCTGCCAGTGCCCTTCCAAGGGGATGACAAGAAGGAAAAATCAGAAATGTCAGGAGGAGTGCAGAAAATTCCTTATCTTCCAGTCCTGCAAAATGTGATAAAAATAATAAAATCCCAAAGGAACGTGCAGTTGAGTTGCAGGGAGGCTTGCACGGGTCATGCTCCAGTTCAGTGTTAGGCACCTTCCTGGATTTYTCTGCCCGTGCCGTAATGGTGAGACTAGCTGAGAGCTGGATCCTGTTGAACGCATTTGTCCTGGCTGTGCTTTTCCTGCTGGATATTCCTCGGTGTTCGCACATTCCTGGGAATACTGCTGGGTATGAGGTCTTATACTGCGGTGGTTCTTGCACTTCTCCATCACTAAGAGTAAGGTTATTCCAATGATCCGTGTGGTTCAGCTCCTTTTTCCACAGCTCCCACTTCTTCCACAAAGAACAACGGAATTATTTACTCTGGGATTTAGGCTAATTCATGATAGCGAATTAGCATGACAGTAGATTAGCAGCCGCCTTCCTTTCCYCTTTAAAAAGCATCAGCCAATGTGTGTTGATGGCCGTTGCTAAATGTTYGTTTGACTTTTGAAAAGTTGCTTTGATGAAGGTGCTTTAAGTTCTTAGCTTTAATCACGCTGTGTRAGTGTATGGATAGAAAAGGGTTCAGGTGCTTCGGAGGTGTGAATATGCTTTCATAGGGAAATAATTCAATGGGGAGGGGAAATAATTCAACGGGGAGGGGAAATAATCCAATGTGGAAACGTTCAGCTGGAAGATGGAGCGTGCCGGGCTGTTCTGGGATTAATCCGTGTGTTCTGCTCCTTCTCTTGCAGTCAACGAGTTCACGGTGATCAGGAAGAAGTTCAAGTGCCCCTACTGCAGTTTCTCGGCCATGCACCAGTGCATCCTGAAGAGACACATGCGATCCCATACTGGGGAGAGGCCGTATCCGTGCGAAATCTGCGGGAAGAAGTTCACGCGCCGCGAGCACATGAAGCGGCACACGCTGGTGAGCGGCTCGCGGCGGCCCGGAGCGGCTGCTTCAGAGCAGAGGGATCAGGAGCCTCCCTGGCCTTGGGGTTTATKTTGCTTCCCGCCCCGGGTCTCCTCGGAGCCCCCCTCCTCACCTTTGCTCATCCCGAGCTCATCCGTAGCCGCTGTCCTTGCGCGGCCGGAGCCTTCCCGAGTGGGGAAAGGACAAGCTCGGCTGCAGTCGCAAACAGCCACACATCTTAACGTGTTTTTTTTTCTTCTTTTCCTCTCCCCAAAACCCCCTTCCATGGGTCTGTCCACTGGGATGTGTCCTGGCCATCTGGTGCTGTGCCAGACACGGACCTGGGATGTCCCTTTGGGCATTCGCATCCCAGAGGCAGATCCGAAGCTTCCGAGGCCTGTGGCTGCGCTCCTTGTCGTGCCAGCTGGTGGCCACTTAGCTTTGCATTTTGGAAACCTTTAATTAACGTTTTTGTGTGTTACTTCCTCAGAAATGGGGGTGTTGCCAGCACTTTTTCCCCCGTCCCTTGAAATACTGCTGCAATAGAGCCCTCCTTCCACACAGGGGCTCCGGGGCTTCTCCCCTGCAGGAGGATGAGGACGGGCGTCCTTCCACATTCCTCCTCTGCTGACGCTCGTTTTCCTCCTCGTTCTCCTCCCCTAGGTCCACAGCAAAGACAAAAAATACGTGTGCAAAGTCTGCAACCGCGTGTTCATGTCGGCGGCCAGCGTGGGCATCAAGCACGGCTCGCGGCGCCACGGCGTGTGCGCCGACTGCTCCGGCCGCGGCGTGGCCGGGCGCCTGGATCCCAGCGGCGCCGAGGCCTCTCCCGACGAGCTCTATCCCGCCGAGGGCCCCTACCTGGAAGACCCGGATGACATCAAAGTGGAAGGGGACGACGAGATGGGAGAGGACGACGACATCAAGTGGAAAGACGACGTGGGGATATCRCAAGACGACGTGATTTTAGACGACGACAAAGACGTCGACTCTCCGCAGGAGCAGGAGAACTCTGGGGAGAACGACAAGGATTTTACCTGGATTTCTTAGGGATTTTTTGTTCCGTTTCGTTTGGATGTTTGTAGGGGAAAGGGAGGGCGGGGGAGGAAGGAGTCTGGTGGAAAAACTACGTAGCCTTGTTGTCGTCCATGTGTGCAAAATAATTCCTGTGTTTTATAAACAAGTCCGTATCTGTTCCGCTCCGATGCCGTACGAGTCRGCGTCGCCTCGGGCCGGTGCCCCGCGCGTCTCGGAGGCTCCTGTCACTTGGAGATTCTGTTTTCGTGGAGGTTTTTCCCTCTTTGGGAGCGCTTTGCTGGGCTCCAGCATCCCGGCCGCGGTGGAAGTGCAAACTAGTGTTGTGCAGACGAGGGTGTCAAGGGCTTCTGAGTCACGCCGGCCTTTTGCTAAAGAGCTATTTAAAGAGAAGTTTTACTGTTTTGTATGGTTTTTACGGAGCCAAATAGATCAAAAGGCAAGTCGGGCTTCAGCCTTACGAGTCCCTTCCAGAACAGTGGACGCTGGTGCTTGGACCTACCGGCRTCTTTCCCTGCTCCCGTCTTCCAGCCTTGGTTCGTCCTGTCCCATGGAGTGACTGTTGACATTTCCATAAAAATGGTTCGTTTTAGGGGACGCGGGTTGCCGCGGAGCCGCTCTTGGTTTCCACCGCCTCTTCGCGTCGCTCCTTCGGGTGCCAGCTGCCTTTTCCACAACTGGATGCACCCCGGGAAGCGCTCGGCAGGGTGAACCGCGGGAGCGGAGCCGGAGCAGCCGGGATCCTGCTCTTCCCCTTGGGTGTTCCCGCGGGGCTGGGATGGAGCCGGGTACGTTATTCCCRCGCCACGCTGCAGTTTTCCTTCGCTGGTGGTAGGCACAGCTCCGGTTGAGTTTCCTCGGGAAAGCCTCGGGTCTTGTTGCACTGGTTCCGTGTGAATTTGCGGATCAAACCCTTGGAGCAGCAGGGTGCTCTCCCGGCGGATTCCCGGGGCTCTTTCCGCTTGCATCCGACTGCACGGAAACAGCAGCGGCAAAACCCGGCACACGCATCCCGGCCGGGAAAGGCGCCGTCGCGCCTCCCCTCTTCGCTTCTGGTGCTTTTTTGTTACTTCTTTTTTAAAAAAGGGCAGAAACCTGCCTGCTTCCTTGCTCCGGAGCAGCGATCCCGCCTTGCCGCCCGCCGCCACAAAGCCAAACCCCGCGAGGTGCTACGTGTTCCCAGCAGCACGAGGGCAGTCTGGGGGGAAAAGCAGCTTAAAACTTCCTGCAGGTGATACTGTTTATTTATTCCTTTCTGGAAAGCGTGGTTCCACCAAGGAAAGAACATGAAAAGGGGAGTGTCTTTCCCAAGGCGCCGGCAGAGCAAATCCTCAGGGATTTCTGCTGCTCGGTGCCCGCGTTGCTGCCTCCCTCTCCCTTGTAATTCCCGCTGTTCCCGGCCGGTTCCCGTTTCCTGCCGGGACGGTCGCTCTYGGTGCATCCCGGTAATTCGGAGCCGTGTTTCGGAGCTGCTCCGTGTCCTTGGATGTTGGGGTGGGTTGAAGGGAGCCTGCAGCCCCGCTCGGCTGCTGCTCGCTGCAGGGTTGAGGAACTCGGACTTGCTGCTTTTATTTTTTAAGGAAAAAACCCATAGAAACCTAAAGCTTTCAAGCCCGCTGAGTTTCCCTGACATTCCTTCCTGTTTGTCTAGCGGGATTCCAGTCTGTGGATTCACTTGCTTGGGTTTTGGGGGAAAGCAGCCTTTGATCCGGAGTTAACCTGTCCTCTGCTACCGGAGCCGGTGGGGACCCGCTGCCTGCGAGGGGCYTTGGGGGTGCCCGGCGCTCCTCCCTGCTCGGCTCGGAAGCAGCTCGTGGCTTTTTCCCTTTTCTTCCCCRTTTCCAGAGGCAGGCAGGGAGCGCGGGGCTTCCGGATGCATTTTCCAGTGGGAAACAGAGAGGGAAGCGGAGGAGCCGCACGGAAACCTAACTGGTGACGAGGTTATAATATAGCACAGGCTTCTATATTACTAACACTCCCTACATATGCACCAAATAAAGTCGTTCTAACCCGGGATGGATATTTTAAGTGCTTTGTTCGGCCGGAGACGCAGGGCCCTCCGGATGCCTCGGCCCTTGCGGCGGCTCCGCTTCCCGGAGCGGGCGCCGTTTCCCTTGGCATTTTGTCCCTTTTTTAACGGATTTTGCTCCAAGCGATGGAGGGGGAAGCGCCCTCAACCCCCCCGCAGTGCCCCCCTGTGCGGAGCCGCGGGAAGAGGGATGCGGGAGGCTCCGTGTCCGGCTATGCAAACTCCTCCCGGGCGCTTCCAGAGCCCGCGCGGGACCCCCCGGCCTTTGTGCTTCCCCTCGGGGCTTTGTATAATTCACTGAGATTCCCTTTTTTTATTTTTTTCTAAATATATATATATATATATATATATATAATGTGTGTGCGTGCGCGTGGGGGTGTGTGTATATATCTATATATATATACAGAGCTAGGTTCAACAGGATAACTCCGTGCGAGACGACAAACCGTTTGGTCCCCATCGAAGTCTGGCGCCTCGTCTTTTCTTAAGGCGTCCCTATAGACTTGCCAGCGCTGTTCACCCGGGTTCTCTGTTACTCTCTTTTTATTTTGAATATAAAACGGTGCCAGAGACACGAGGCGCTTTGGAAGCCCCGCGGCGCTGGGGTCTTAGCCCTGGAGCAGCCACCGGGCTCCGCTCTGTCCCGTTTCGGCCGCGTCGCCGTCCGGAGGCTCCTTCACCACCGCGGAGAAATTCCCTTCTTGCGTCTTCTCCTGTCCACTTGGTGTTTTCGGACGCAGCTTGTTAAGAAATGATGAATTTCAGTTATTTTTGTATGTTTTTTCCCTTACGGGGTGGCATTTAAGGTTGTTGTTCAGCCTCCCGGAGTTAGGGGATGATCTGGGCGGGATGGAAGGGGGATGCGTCTATGGAAGGGTTGCAAAGTGACTCTCGATTTGGTTCATACTGAAGAGCAGAGCGGGAAGGAGAAGCTCTCCTAGGAACAAGCAGCTCCCGCCTTGGCCTTAGCTCCCGGTTTGTTCTGCAGCTCCAGTTATGCCTTTAACTCTCCCGCGTTTCCAAAGCGGGAGCCCCGCTCGGTTGGCTGCGTCTCTGTGGGGTGACCGATGACTTTGGGAACGATCCTGGTTGTCCCCTCTGGCGCCGTCCCCCCCTCCAGCAGCCCCTGCTGCGGCTCCCCCAAACGCCCCCGATTTTGCACATCGCCCTTTAGGAAGGAAACTCCATGAAAATGCAAAAACTGGAATTTTTTGCAATATTATTAAAGATAATCTTTATTTTTTAGCTCATTCTGTGACATGTGCGACTCCTGAGAAAGCCATACTGAAATGGTTCATTTTATTTGTAGACTCTTCGRTTGTGTTGGGAATTTCTGCCTTTTTGGGGGACATTCTGCATAGTAAGAGTGCTGTGTGTATGCTTTCATATATATTTATTTTTCAACGTGCTTTAAACCTGTCTATGAAAATAAAACCAAGCCACCAAAGGCGCAGAGCGGAGCGAGGGCTGCGGGGGGGGGCGCTGCTCGCTCCGGAGCGGCCGGGAACGCTCCGGATTGAGCGGCCCGCGCGGCGGCGCCACCCAGCGGCCGCGCGCGGAGCTGCGGGCGGCCCCGGCGCCGCTTCCTGCTCCCGCCTCTCCCTTTCCCTCTTTTTTTCCCCATTTTTTTCCCTTTTCTTTTTTTTTTTCCTTTTCCCCTTTTTATTTTTCCCTTTTCCTTTCCTTTTTTCCTTTATTTACCATTTCTTCTTCTCCCTTTTCCTCTCTTTTCCCTTTTCCCCTTTTTTTCTCCTTTCCTCTTTTTTTTTCCCTTTTCCTCTTACTTTTTTTCACATTTTCCTCTTTTTTTCCGTTTTTTCTCTTTTCCTTTTTTTCCTTCTTTTTCCCCTTTTCCTCTTCTTTTCCTTCTTCTTTTTCCCCTTTTCCCCTTTTCTCTTTTCCCCTTTTCCTCTTTTTTCTTCTCTTTTTTCCCCTTTTCCCTTTCTTTTTCCCCTTTTTCTCATTTCCTTTTTCCCCCATTTTTCCCTCACCCCACTTTCCTTTTTTTCCCCTTCCTCCCCCTCTTCCCCTCCCCTTCCCTGGCTTTCCATGTTCTGGGTCTACTGCAAATGCCCCAGGCACCTTGTGCAGGTTGCACTGGTTCCGTGCTGCCRGGGGCTGTTGGGGGCCTTGGAGCTCATGGACCAGCGGGACTGGGGGGCTGTGAGTGGAAACTGGGGTGGGATGTGGGGTATGCGGGTTGGGATTTCAGGTAATCCCCTCCTGGAGCCCATCCCCRCAGCAGGCCCGGGGCGGGGGGGGGGCGCCCATCCTTCCTGAGCCCCACAACGTAATAATTATGATTATTATGATAACAGTAATGATGACGATGAAGGAAATTTAAAAAAGAAAAAGGCCATTTTTTWAATCTTTCTCCTGCCAAACGCAGCCTTCCCGCAGGCAGCTGCCCCCAGCCCGCGGCGCTGCCCGATACCGCAGCAGGAGACAGGGAACAAAGACCCCAAGGGCCACGTCCCCAGCCCTGGTGCTGGCCCCGTCCCTGCAAGGGCAGCATTTAGAAATACGACTTTTCATATATTTTATTTAAAAAATAAAAACACACAAAAAGAAGGAAAAAAAAAAAAAACCGAGAAACCTCTTTGTGCAGTTTGGCTTAGTGCAAATGGGCGCGTTGCTGCAGGCACTTGGCGGAGCACGGCCCCACGGGAGCCACGCTCCTCGCGTACAAAACTCGAGAGACCGACGATACAAAGAGTAAAAACCCCCCAGGCGTGGAGAACGGGGCGCCCCCCTCGGCGCCCCGGACGCCGGGGCCCCGGGCGMAGCGGCTTCCAGCCTGGGCCGCCCCGGCTGGGAGGGACTGTAGTGATGGAAAGGGATGGAGGGGGCAGGAATTTAGCTTATTTTCCAAGGGGACGGGGGTCTCCGTGGTGGGGGGTGTGCATAAAGCTCCCGGGGCGCAGGGCGGGCGGCCCCGGCCCGTGGCCCCCCCGGCCGTGGGGCCGCACGACGCCCGGCCACCGATTCCTGAGTCCAGCGCAGGGCCGGGGGGCGGCCGGCGAGGGGGGCGCGAAGGCACCTCAAGTGCAAAATGTGCAAGAAGGGGCCGGCGCGGCCTCAGTCGACGAAGCGCTGGCAGGCCTTCTTCCAGCGGCACGCCGTGCACCACAGCTCCCGGTTCTCCATGCCGTACACCTTGCGGCACTTCTTGGCGTCACCGCGCGGCTTCCTGGCGGGATGGGGCACACGGTCGGCCGGGAGCGCCGCGGGRACCAGGGCGGCAGCAGCAGCCCCCGAGCCCCTGTCCCAGAGCGGCCGGAGGGCGYGGGAGGGGAATGCTCTCTCCCGGGAGCATCCGGATGAGGTGGGAGGGCATGSGATGGAATGGGAGGGGACGGGTCAGGACGGGACAGGAGGGTCCACTCCAGGGAGACTCCTCCCAGAAGGAGCCCAGTGGGATAAGATGGGATGCAATAAAATGGAGTGGGAAGGGGTGGCATAGGATGGGTAGGTCCAACCCTAGAGTTGTCCTCCTGTTAGGAGACCTGTCCCAGGAGCAACCCGGCAGCATGGGATGGGATGCCATGGGATGGGATGCGATGGGATGGGATGCCATGGGATGGGATGCCATGGGATGGTCTAGCCCTGCTGCCCCCCTGGAGACTGCTCCTAGGAAGATCCTGATGGGATGGGACAGGACGGCGCAACCCGGGATGGGCCGGTCCGGGATGGCAGCCTCACCTGGCGGCAGCGGGCGGCTTGGGCAGCACCGGGGCGAGCGCCACGTGCATCTTCACCACGGGCACCGGCGGCAGCGGCAGCCGCTTGTCCCCGATGGTGACGGGCCGCAGTGGAGCAGGGCAGCCCTGCAGGACGGGGCAGCGGCGTGAGCCTTGTGCCAACACCGGGAACGCGGCACCGCGGCCTCCCCTGGGACGTGTGGTGCGTGTGCTCACCTGGTACGCGTGGTCCGTGTGCACGTGGCACAGGGCGCTGGGTGCCGAGCGGCTCAGCGGGGCTGGCTCAGGGGCRGCCGGTGCCACGGGGGGGCCCGGTGGCGCCTCCAGCACCGGGAAGGCCGGCGGCACCGAGGACGTGGGGGACACGGGCGTCAGGCTGGAGAGCCCGTCCGTCAGCGAGTCCACGTTGACGTCCAGCTCCGTGTAGTAGAAGTCCTCCTCGCCGTCGCTCTGCTCCACGTCGGCTTTCCGCCTGCGGGACACGGAGGGCTCGCGCGGCGCTTCCAACCGGGAAAGGGAGGGCGCGGAAGCAGGGGCACTTACCCGAGGTGCGCGGTCCGGATGTGCTTCTGCATCCCTGAGGAGCTGCTCAGCACCTTGCCGCAGCTCTTCCACAAGCACTTGAACATCACCTTGGTGGAGTTCTGCACGCATGGCATCAGGCTGCCTGTGCCTGTCCCCCTGCCTGTCTCCACTGCCACCCTCGCCCCTGTCCCCATCCCCATCATCATCCTCGTCCCTGTCCCCATCATTATCCTCGTTCCTGTCCCCACCACCACCCCTTCACCATTCCCATCTCAACCCTGTGCCCATCCCCAACCTTGTCCCCATTCCCACCCCATCCTATCACCATCCTCTTTCCTGTCCTCAACACCACTCTAATCCCTGTCTCCAGCCTTATCCCATTCCTGTTTCCAAACACATCCTACTCTTGACCCCATCTCATCCCAGTTCCCATCCCAACTCCATCCCCATTGTCTCCACTCTAACACCATCCTGTCCCACCTAGTTCCCATCCCCATCCCGAAGCTCTCCCTTCCCACCACATCCCTCTTCCAGTTCCCATCCCAAACCCATTCCCCTTTCCATCCCAATCTCCCCCCCATCCCAGACCCCATCCTCCTTCCCCACCCACCCCATCCCCAT